CATGATATAGGGTTAAAATCTTGATGGTTTAATTGCATGATCTTTATTTAATTTGTGTTTGCATAATTTAATTGAGATCTCTTCACTACATAAAAACTCATTTATAGAGGCAACTCTTTGAGACAGTTGACATATTATTGCCTCTAAATGTCATCATTAGCATCAGATAAATCATGGTTGCCTCTAAATTTATATATTCTAAGTAAATTGAGGCAACCATATCTTATGTGCCCCTAAAAAGTATCATTCAGGGCAACATTGTTGTACCGGCCTCTAAAAGCTTGTTGCAATGGTATAATTGCCTCTAAAAGAATTGCTTCTAAACACAAATTCATATTCACGATAATGTTTTGGGGTAAAACATTTTTATTTGTAAAAAATGACTACACAAGAACTAAAGAAGGTAATAAATTAAATTTTGCTTTATTGATTTGTCATTTCTCTCATAAAGTAGAGAGACACTAAGTAATTGAAAAAAGAGTAAAAGTCATTATTACATTTTAAGGCCTAATGTAAGGATAAAATTAATATAAGGTAAGTTTTACAAAAACAAAGTACTATGTAATGTTTTTTAATTTACCGTTACATTTGCCTAGCAAGTGTTACCTAAAATGTTACATTAATTGTTGAGTATTATGATTTTTTAATTAGACTTAAATTTTATAATTTAATGTGGTCAGATCTGGTTTGTTTAAGTCAGAACTGATTTGAACTGTTCTGATAGAAGTCTTACTCAGTTGAAAGATAAACGTCATGTCTTCAGAACAGTTTCACGGGTTTGAAGTTTGTGCAATTTCATGTCTAAGTTATAATTTAGGAAAATGCTATGTGTACACAACATTGTACACACCACCCTACACATCATAAAAAGGCCACCCCTCCCTTTTCTAACCCATATAACCCCCCACCCCTAATTTGAATTGAGCCTCATGCGGCTAAAAAAAACCACCCCACTTCGTTTTCTCATTTCCGCATCCCACATAAAAATACCCCAAGAAACCGATTCTCTCCCCCAGACGTTTTGCCCACCCCCTCCATCTTCCCGTTGAACTGCTTCAGCGCCGCCCGAGTCACTCCATCACCGCCCCTCTCCATCGAAGTTCACTGATACTTCCACCCTCCCATCCGGTGTCTGCAAGAAACCCAGAAGTCCAGAAGTCATACCGCCACCACTTCAGTCTTAATCGGAAATGGTTCGCACTCCATTGACGGAATTGGCTCAAAGGTAATTTTTAACCTTGTTTAGAATTTATTGTGGAGTGACAGAGGACGGCCAACACTTACTAAGATGTCTTTTTAGTGTGTATATTAATCCCTTAGATGTCTATGTAGTTTGTTATATACGTTTGTGGTTCTTTTTACTTGTCTATATGGTTTTATTGAAATGTTTGTGTAGTGTGTATATTATTTTCCTGAGATGTCTGTGTAGTTTGTTATATACGTTTGTGCTTCTTTTCACTTGTCTATATGGTTTTACTGAGATGTCTGTGTAGTGTGTAAATTATTTTCCTGAGATGTCCGTGTACTTCGTAATTTACATTTGTGCATTGTTCAGTTGTCTATATACTTTTCGTAAGATGTCTGTCAGCATGGGTTGTGTGTAAATGAGATGTCTGTGTTTTTGACAAATGTCTATGTCAATATTTACAGGATGGAATTGCAAATTCCTCTTAAATATTACTTTCCCGCACAGTACTCTGTACGGTCTTCTTTCTTAGAGGCCTTGGACCTGCTTGGCGAATGCCTTACGGTGTTCACCAGTGGCTGAAGCTAACAAAGACGCCGTTTGGACACTTTCTTGATGTTGCACAACTACAATTCTCGGCCCAACTGATTCATCTCTTGTTCATAACTACAATTCTCAGCCCAACTGATGGTTCTCCTAGCCAAAATGTGTACAAGTCTCCTAATTAGCTCAAGTCATATATTACCGGACTTTGGTTCCTGTTTGGTATTTTTGGAGTCAAAATCATGAAATTTAAGTCGGGCGTTTAAGAAACAATCGTGATGAGTCAAGACACATTTGAGAGTGGATTAAGAGATTTGGAGGTTAACGGGATGTTAAAGACAAAGATTTGAAGTCAAAAGAGCTCTAGGATCAATTACAGGATCGAATGCAAGTCTAAAGAGCTAGAAATCAGGCAAAACTAACTAACAAAGGGCACGCACGTCGTACCTGCCAGAGAGGAAAGCCGTGCATGCGTGGCAGATTGACTCAAGATGAGAACGCAACCAGGCACGACGTGCGCGCCAGCAAGCACGCCATGCCTGGAAGATGAAATACGAAGGGGAGCTACTGGAGGCCAGGCACGCCGTGCGTGTCAAGGAGGCACGCCGTGCCCGACGATTTCACGCACCTTGTGCTCCGGAGGCACCGATGCCAGGCACACCGTGCCTGGGCGCCATGTCTACCCCCATGTTTCTCGATTTGGCTCGAATTCCTCCGCTTTCTATTTATACAGCATGTAAACCCCTGTTTTCGGGTTACAGAGCTTAGAGAGAGGTCTAAGACAAATTTTTCATTTATTTTCCACTTTGTTATTCAAGACCCTGAGTTTATGTGTATGTTCCATCTTTTTAATTAATGACAATTACTCCCTCCGTCCCTTATAACTTTGCCAACTTTCCTTTTTTGGTTGTCCCAAAAACTTTGCCACTTTTCCTTTTAATCAATCAATTTGTGGCTCCTGTTATTTCTCTCTCTTCTGCACAAATTTCTACCACACAGTTTTTACTTTATTATTCTACGTGCCGGTCAAACATGGCAAACCTTTAAGGGACGGAGGGAGTATTATAATTGTTTTCATCTCAATTCTATTGGTTGCTCAGTTATGAATTGTGAGTAGTTTTAATTAGGTATTTGAGATTAATGAAGGGGTTAATCATGATATAGAATTAAAATCTTGATGGTTTAATTGCATGATCTTTATTTAATTTGTGTTTGCATAATTTAATTGAGATCTCTTGTAGGATAAAACAACAACTAGGATTATAATTGCACATAGAATAGATTAAGAGAGATCTAATTTATTGTAGGACACTTTCACAAACACTTAACTGTTCGCTAAGAGATTAGTAACGGTTAAGGGGCCGTACGCTCGCTCGTTTTGGCATTAATTTAGAAATCTGTCGCATGAGAGATCAGTTTGGTTTCCTAAATTATTGTACTCTACGCTGCGAGAGCAGTACGAACTTAGTATTGATTAGTGTTGCTCAATTAAATAATATTCATGTGATTAAGTCTGACCAGCCCCGAAATCTGGTTACACCAGAATCAATCCATGCTCGCACATCACATTTATTTTATTTATTTTATTTGCTGAATTTAGTTAATTCATGATTCCCTTTTTTCGTCCCTGTGGAACGATACTCGTACTTGTGCCCTATTCTGCTACATATTTTTACGTGCGAGAAAACTCACATTAGGTCCCAATCTAAAATTAGACCTGGTATACCCAAATAGGGTAGCCGGTCCCGGTATAGGCAAGTTGGGACCGAAACCGGCTGGTCCCAATGGCTAATTTGACTAATGCTTTATTTTCCCGCTTGATTGGCAACCCACAACACTTTTGAAACTCTTTACTTTGAAAAAATGATTTAAAAATGGGGACCGCACCGGGAAATGAACCATCTGGTCATCGAAAGGACCATACCAGAGTAGAGACCAGGGCGGGATCGGATCCATCACTAGGCATAAGTGGGCAAATTATTGCAGCAACACCGCATCCTCTCCGAATTTCAAACTTGAAAAACTAGTAAAACTCACTTCTCTAATTGATTAACGATAACAGAGACATATCACATTTTTTTGAAAAATGATTTGACAAATGCATTTTCTTGTTTTACTTTCTTCAGTTTTCCTGCAATTTTACTGTAAACACGAGTTTATTCAGTTTGCAATTCTTATGATGTTTTCTTTTGAACTGAAATTTGTTGATCTAGTCTAATTTGTTGGATTTTTATCTGGTTTGATAGATGTCTAATCTATGAGTATTTTATGAATACGAAAGTTCCAACTGGATTTATTTGGCCTGTTTGCATCTGATCTGGCTAATCTTATCTATTTAAATCTGGTTTGATCTTGTCTGGCCTGATCCGGTCATTCACGAAAAAAGTATATCTATTGCTAACACCCTACCTCCCCTCATTGGTCTTGATTTGAACATCGGCTTACATACTGTTAAAGTGTTAAGTGTTACTCTCTTCGTCCAATAAAATTCTTCCCACTTTCCTTTTTGGGTCGTCCCAAAAAAAATCTTCCTACTCACCATTTTTGGACAATTTGTGTGGTTCACATTCATTTCACTTTTTTCTTACACAAACACAATCATACATTTTCACTTTATTCCACTTCCTTAATCTCCGTGCCAAGTCAAAGTGGGAAGAATTTTATGGGACGGGTAGTAATTGATACGTCATTGACACGAAGTACTTACTCCGTACTTATTAGTGCAACAGTGCCACGCGCCAGATGAGAAATTGTTCCATTAAATTAAGTAGTCCATGAGTGCATTGTAGCTAGGATTAATAACTTAAATCTTCCTCCCCAAGTTTGGTCAACTTATGAAATCAATATTAACATCATAAAAATCTAGAAACGAATCCGCTAAGTATTAGTGTAAGATACTTCATATATGATCCCTTAGCAAGTAATCAATGCACAAGTAACAAAAACTATACGTCTCGACGTTATAATTTTAACAAATCGAGGTTCAGTTACATGAGATTACAAAATTTGATACTAATTATATAGAAGAAATCATTTCGTAATCAACAAATAATTTAATTAAAATTGACTGATTTAAAACTATGATTGTTAAATTATAGACAAAGCTTGTAACATTCTAAAGATACTTGGGATAAAAATTTCATTCAGATACTTGATCACCAACTTAAAATCATTCTCAAGATAATAATTTGACCAGCTTAACAAATGAATGAAATAATGAACTGATCAACAATACAGTAATTGTCATTATGAGCATGATAAAACTCTTTTTCGTCCCATAATAACAACATTAATTACAATTCTCATAAACCCTAAAGTCGGATAATTTTCAACCAAAATTGATGGCCGTAGCTACCAGAACAATTCTTCGAGCATTGAACCCACATCTTCTTCTCTGAGTATCTCCGGCTGAACTGAGGAGCCGGAAATAAGATGATCACCCGGAACGGAGGACGGCAAAGAGGAATATTCTGGAAAAGCAGGACCACTGCCCTGCTGCGGCTGCAACTCTGGGATCATTGATCCAATGTCTTCTCCACTAATTAGCCAATCATCTTTCCAAGGAGTATTGAGTGTCTCCTTCCCAATTGGCGAGTAGCAGCAGGGTTCAGAAATAAGATGGTCACTTGCAAGAACAGAGGACGGCGGTGAGGAATATTCTGGAAAAGCATGACCACCGCCCTGCTGCGGCTGTAACTCTCGGATCATTGATCCCATGTCTTCTCCACTAATCAGCCAATCATCTTCCCAAGGAGTATTGAGTGTCTCCTCAATTGGGGAGTAGCAGCAGGGTTCACAAATCACACGGCCGCCGCCCCCGGCCAGAACTGAAGATGGCGAAGGATATTGCGGAGGACACCCGCCCTGCAGTTGCACCCCTCGGATGACATCCTCAATATCTTCGTCAGCCAACGGTCCGCCACTGTTCCAAGCAGTATTCTCGCCCGCATCACCGGACAAGGGCGAAGGAAACAGAGCACAAAGAGGACTGCCGCCGCCCTGCTCTTGCTGCTGCGACTCCAAAATCCCAGTAGGGTCGCCATACACATACGGCTTTCCCGCTGGAGAGAAGACGACGGCCGCGACTTTAACTCCCGGGAATAGGCGGCACAGATCAGATGCTTTCTTGAAGAGCCCCGTTCTCCTCTTGGAGAAACACATTCCGAGCTTCCCGTGACTCGATCAGTTTCATCTCGATCTTTGACTTCCCTTTGCCCATGTTATTCTCTGATCGATCAGTTTTCTGTGATTTTCTATCTATTCGATTATCAGTCAATAATATAGAGTATAGCTATATACTGTACTTATATATGAGAATTGAGAACCGCCATATGTTTGGACAATCACAGACTCACACTAATGCTAGGATTGCTAGGTGCTGCCTTGCACCGTCTTTAAAATTGTTCCAAAAAGAAATGCACCGTCTTTAAAAAGATTTGGGGGTGGGTTGTTTTCATAAAAAATACACCCTCCCACATAGGAGCAAACTATAGGCAAAATGCAAAAATAAAAGTACCATGTTTTGAATAGGAGTAACTTTAGTGTTTGGACAAGTATACCCCTATCCATGTCCCAACAACTTTTAATTAAATGTTTAATTCATAATAAATTCGAAAAAAAATTAAAAAATCGTAGAAAAATAATTAAAATTTTTATAAAATATTAATAAAAAAATTTAAAAAAAAAATATTTTTAAATTTTTTTATTTTTTTAAAAAAATTAATAAAAAATAGTAAAACTCCATAAAAAAATTAAAAAAATAAGGATGCCTTTCTCACCGCTTGTACTACCTCCCTGCACCACCACCTCCGAGCGGTGAAAAAAAATCCATTCTTCCCAAAAACTGCCTTTTTCTGAAAATGTCAAAAACATGTCATATTTCTCTTTGCAAAATGCAAAAATAGAAGTACCATGTTTTGAATAGGAGTAACTTTAGTGTTTGGACAAGTATACCCCTCTCCTTACACCGTCTTTAAAAAAAATACACCCTCGGACATTCTCTCTGATTTGCAAGACTTTTTGTTTTGTTTTTTTAAACATTACTAAACTAAAATTTATAAAATTTAGTTACATAAATATGATTATTAGTTAAGTTGTAACCTAAGTATGAAAAATTGAACATAAGTTACTATGATTTTATTAGAGACATGTATCTAAATAGGACTATATAAAAGAATAATTGTAACAATAGGCATTTAAAGTTTAAATTCCCAACATAGGACTAACTCTTCATATTCTACCCTTTCCTTTGTCGTTCATAATAGGATTTTTTTAAACAATCATTATAAAATAAAATAAAGTCAAAATAAAAAATCGTAAAATATAATTTAAAAATATACAAACATCAACCTCTACCTCAACCACCTTCCAGCACCGCCACCTCCGATTGTCGAAAAAGATTGCCAAATTGGGGGGGAATGTCATCATGATGGCAATTTTGAAGAGAAAGCTGGATATTTTCAATACACGTGCATACGCACGGGAAAATAATCCATGGATATATTTGTAATCATGATCTAATTAATTACAATAGGAAACTAATTTTAAAAAATTGGCATTGTTCTTAAAAGCGAGTACAATAAGTCAATATCATAAAGTGTAAAGTGTACGTTAATAAAATAAATATTATAAGTAACATATTAAACTTACGTGTTAGAGACTTTGGAAAACCTCTTTGAATACAACATTTGTAGTAGTGTCTAATAATTTTCTTTCCTTATCATGTATTAAAATCTTCAATCCAGGTTTGCTCTGAACTCTCGATAATGCCATATACAATTGTCCATGACTAAAAACAGGTCTAGGCATGTGTAATCCAACTCTTTCCAGTAATTGTCCTTTAGATTTATTGGTTGTCATCGCATATGACACCATTATAGGAAAATGTCTTTTGATAAGTTTAAAAGACCGTGGTGCTTGGGACATACACATTTGAGGTATGTAAATCTCATCTCCATCATAGCTTTCAGACATGATTTTTGCTCCACTTACATAATTTCCAAGTCTTGTGACAATCAATCTAGTTCCATTACATAGTCTTTCTGACTGGTCTATATTTTTTAACAACATTAATGGAGTCCCAACCTTAAGTTGTACCTTGTGATTTGGGAGAACTGATGTTCTCAAGGAATTTAGAAACTCTACTGTCAACGCTTCAAATGCTTCTGCTTCAACTACATCCGACTTGTATATAGAATCGCAACTTAAATATTCTCTTTCTTCACTTGTAGTTATAAAAGTTCAGTAGTCTTTATTTAATCATTAAATTTGTTTAAGATTTTATTTTGTAAGTACATAAGTAAAGTAGCATTTTTATAATATTATTACCTGGGAGCATTGAAAGAACATAGTCGTTAATTTTATCGATAGTTTCAATAGTCGATGCGAAGATAGCTCTACACTTGAGAAATTCCTCATTTTTGTATTGCTCCACCAAGTTAGGGTATGTGCTTTGGATTATTGCATCTATTGGATCATCAAATTCTTTAATTAAGAATTCATGTGGAATTCTTATTTCTGCATAACCATCATTTGGCTCTGATATTTTTCCATCCCCTACATCCAATATCCATTTTGAAAATTCTTTGAGCTCATTAGCACTTGTCATATCCAAACTATTTTGGAGTCGCATATTTTTAGTAAGAGACAGTACCTATGAATAAACAAAAATAGTAAGTACTTATATTTGAGTATAACTTATAAAGTAATAACTCCAAAAAACTTATAAAGCGATTAGGCGATATATTTAAATAACCAATATAATTAGTGATACTTTGTTTAAGCTAAAAGCGAACAAATGAACAAATTTTTAAAGTTTTATAGGTTAGTTATTTTGGTGTATTGTGTTAAAATTGAATTTTCTAAATTATCGTAAAAGAAAACATATTAGTTATGGTATTGAAAAATTGAGTTTGATACCTGACAGTCTTTCCTTAGATATGAAGAATTAGTTGTAGCATTAACAATGTCTGAACGGCTTCCTATAGGAATAACTGGCAAAGTTTGTCTAAAGTCTCCTCCAAATACAATCACTCTTCCTCCGAATGGAGAAATAGAATCACCATCATTGTTGATGATGTCATTTATGCTTCTGTCCAAATGTCCAATGCTTCAAAACAAAATTTGTGAGCCATTGTTGCTTCATCTCATATTATCAACTTAGTCTGTTTCAATAGCTCTGCAATTCACTCCCTTGATGCATATTGCATGTAGAGTTATCTAGAGTAGGAACTGGGATTGAAAATTTAGAGTGTGCGGTTCTGCCTCCAGGTAAGAGTAGAGAAGCTATACCACTTGATGTGACAGTTATTTTAGAGTGTGCAGTTCTACTACTTGATACGTGAAATTATTTTAATACCTAATGTAAAAAAAGTTGTTGGGGGTAATCAGGAAATAACGTTAATTTATGGTAATAGTAAATAATTAATTTCATGTTTTTTTAATTTTTTTAATTATATAAATAGTAAAAATTTGAAAAGAGTAACAAAGATCTGCTAAACTAATCTTATATACTCTATGTTCTCTATTCGAATTCCCAAATAAGCTGAATCGAATCTAGGGTGATACTTTTTATGACAAATCTTGTTGGTAGGGTAAACACCATGAATAACTTGCCATATTAGAAATAATAAGTGAAAAGTTGATTCCTTACTGATTTGTGTACCTGGGATGTTCGGGAGCCTCCGTTGTTGATACAAAATTACATCTGCCAACCACTGCCAAGTTTGTTACCATACATGCTAAGGTCTACTCACGGGACACAATAAGAGCAGAGTTACAAATAATTTTATTAAGAAGTGCCCTGATGCCCAGTCCTTAACTTCTTTTAATGCTCCGATATATTCTTTATCATCACCAAGCAATCCCGCTTCAAAACACGCTTCTCTAAAGCTTGGGTATTGAATGTTGGCAACCGTCCTAATATCCTCATAACAACATGGCCCTTTTGTTACAGTGAGCATCATTCTTAAATAGAACAGTTCACCTGTTGTAGCAGGTACCCAGATGAGTCTACCAATAGTGTAACCCTTCGTTCGTGGCTTCCAACACCTCTTGCTAGCTACATACACAAAACATGAAACGAACTTTGCATAGGTCAAATCTTTTCCTTCCAGATAGATTTTGCGTGCTTGCATCCAAGATGTAAATGTTGGAGATATTTAATTGTGAATCAAGTTGGTCATAGATTAGCTTTATATTTAATCCTTGTATTTGAATAGTGCATAAATTAGATAGAAATCAGGCCAAGTGTTAGGCCCATTTAAACAGGCCAAAAGCCTGTTACGCCTAACCTAAACCTCACCTATAAAAAGGGAGCCGAGGTTTAGGAAAAGGCTGAACGTCGTACTTATTATTCATAGCCTTACGCTTATTATTCTGCTGTACGTTCCACGGTTTATCAAAGAAGGTTTTACGGTGATTCATTCTCTGTTCATCTTTACGTTTAATCTTCCTTGTTAGATCGATTATTCATTGCTGTTACAGAAACAGGGACTAACAATTGGTATCAGAGCCGATCGAGAACGATCAGAAGAACTCCTGCAGAATACTCTGTTTTTGTTAACGTAGTTCATTCTGTCGACTTTTTGCTCTGTAATTTTGTTTCTTGTTCAAAAGTTGTAAAAGTTACACCTTTGGAATCGCCTTTTCAAAGCGATCAAAGGGTATACTTCAGTTTGTGTTTTACGCAATTTTAGATTTCGAGATATCTCGAGCTAGGCATCTCGACATCCTACTTCTCCACAGGTTCTGCTACGTTTTTCGAGCTGAAAACTTTACCAGAAGATCTCGACATTCAACTCTACAGGAAACTATCTTCAGATTTTGTTTATCTGATTTTTACAGGTTGCAGGATTTCGACATTGAGGATTTCGACATCTAGGATTTCGAAATCTTGATTTCGAGAAAAGGATTCGACATCTGGTCTCGACATTTGACTCATCAGATAAAGATTTCGAGAGATTAACTTCTCGACATTTCAAATCTCGAGATCAGCATCTCGAAATTTGAAATCTCGAGATCCCTAATCTCGAGATCCTTAATCTCGAGCCCAAATCTCGATACCGGGCCTCCTTTATCGAAATCTGAGATTTCGATATTCAGATCTCGACATCTGATTTTTCGAGATTCTGCCTCTGAAAATCTTTTGATCAATTTTCTCGAACGGTCAGTTTAGTACAGCAATGGGTTCAGAATACAATGCACAAGGGAACAGCAGTACCCCTCCTAGCCTCAGGAAGGGAGAATATCAAATGTGGAGGAACA